TATTTTCAACTTCTATTCAATTTTCATACTGCCGTAATCTAACGGAACTATCTACATACTCTCTTCTAAAGATCATTCTCTAGCTTATAAATTATCACACTAAAGCTTCATGTTAGCATTTCCAACCAACTCCTTCTAAATTTGTCTAGAAGATTCTTCCACAACTTCTGTGAGAAGTTCAATCAGAATTTTGGATCCTTTCCCTTGTTTGTGCCCCTATGAAAGATTCTTTCGAAATCCGATTCCTACAAAATGGAATTCTAAATAAATCTGCTGGGGGATCCTTATTCAACTCTTGACAGGAATTTGTCCAGAAACTTTTCAGGAGAATTCTTTAAGAACATTTCAGGAATTTTTTTTAGAACCCTGAGAAGAAATCAGCCCAAGACGCTTTGAGGGATTTCTCCTAAATCCTTTTAGGAGATTTCTGATGCTCTATTCAAGTGATTTTTTTTAATCTATATTGGGTTTTCCACCAGGAACCCCTTTAAGGCTTCATGGATATATTCAGAACACCTTTGTTGAATTCCTACAGAACTCCTGAGAAGTGATTCTCAAAGAATCCATAGGAAGAGTTTCTCTAGAACTTCTTCGCTGGATTCCTACTTAACATTTGTGGATAACTTCTCTTGAATCTCTGTGAAGGATTCCTCCAGATCCACTGAGAAAAATCCCTTTAAAGCCGCTTTCTAAATCACATAGTAGATTCCTACAGAACTCTTTTGAATGATTTATTGGGAATGTTTTTGAGAATTTCTTCTGAACCTCTTTGAAGGATTCCACTGGAACACCATTGGAGATTTATATTTATGAGATTTCAACGATACCCTGATTTCTTAAATCTCCGTGGATTCAACCCAACCCTTCCAGAATTTGAACTGAAAGATTCTGTACAACCTCTGTGAGAAATTCAATCAGAATTTTGAATAATTTCTTTTGTGTCCCTTTGAAAGGTTCTTCCGAAATCTACACGTGAGATTTCTACAAAACACCTACAGGAATTTTTCGTGAATCTGCTTGGGAATTCTTCTTCAACCCTTGCGAGGAATTTCTCCAGAAACTTCTCCGGGATTTCATTCTGCACATTTCTGGAAGATTTTTCCAGAATGATTCTTCCTAAATCCTTTTAGGAGATTTCTGATGCTCCATTTAAGGGAGTTTTTTTTATCTTTCCACCAGAAACCCCTGTGAGGCTTCATGGATATCTTTAGAACACCTTTAGAGAATTCCTACAAAACTCCTGAGAAGAGATTCTCCAGAATCCCTGTGAAGAGTTCCTCTAGAGCTTCTTCGCGGGATTCCTTTTTAACATTTTTGGGGAACTTCACTTGAATCTATGTGAAGGATTCCTCCACAGATTTCCATGTGGAGATTCCATCAGATCTACGGAGGAAGCTCATTTGAATGATTTATTTGGAATATTTTTGAAAATTTCATCTGATTCCACCGGAACACCATTGGATATTTCTATTTAGGAGATTTCAACGATACCCCGATTTTTCGTAAATCTCCGTGGATTCAACCCGATCTTTCCAGAACTTCTTGGTGGGATTCCTCCATTACATTATTTAACGGCTTATCTTGATTATTGTTAGACTCATCCTAAATCTATCTGGAAGATTCTTACACAACCTCTGGGAGAAATTCAATCGGAATTTTGGATCATTCCTCTTGTACCCCTATAAAAGATTCTTCTAAATCGATACGTGAAATTCCTACAGAATGAACCTATAGGACCTATTTTCCATAAATCTGCTTGGGGGATTCTTCTTCAACTCTTGAGAGGAATTTCTCCTGAAAATTTTCAGGGGATTTCATTCAGAACATTTTTTTCTTCAGAATCCTCGGGAAAAATCAACCCAAGATGCTTTGAGGGCTTCCTTCTAAATCCTTTTGGGATATTTCTGATACTCTGTTACAGGGATTTCTTTTGAATTTTCCATCAGGAACCCCTTTGAGGCTTGATGGATCTGAACACCTTTGGAGAATTCCCCTGAGAAGAGATTCTCCAGAATACCTGTGAAGAGTTTAGCTAGAACTTCTTCGCTGGATTCCTCCTCAACATTATTGGGGAATTTCTCTTGAATCTCTTTCGATTCCACCAAAATCTCCCTGAAGGGTTCTTTCAGATTGCCATGCGGGGATTCTATCAGAACCACTGTGGAAATTGATTTCATCGGAAAATGTTTGAGGATTTATTCGGAACCTCTTCCATTGAAGATTTCGAAATTGGGTTTTTTGGGTTTTTCGAAAATTTCCTTGATGAAGGATTCAACCCAAACCCTCCAGAACTCCTTTGCGGGATTCCTCCATAACATGAATTTTGAATCTATGTATCCGAACCCGTCTGGGAGATTCTTTACAACCGTTGGGGAAAATTCCATCAGAACTTGGGAGGATTCATCTTGAGCTTTTAGGGAGGATTCTTATGGAACTACTACGAGGATTTTTTATCGGTTCAATCTTTTGGAGGAGGGAGCGGAGGAGTTTCAATCAATCTTTATGGGGGTATTACCCCAAAACCTCTGCGTGATATTCCTGCAGAACAGTGAGATATTTCTTCTGTACTCTTGTGATCAGTTATCCCAAAATCTCTATGTGAATTTTATCTAGAACCCCCTTGGGAGATTCTTCTGGAACTTCTTTGAGGGATTTAAATCCATTATTGCTAAGAATTACAGATGACGTTTTTCATGGGCTCCTTCGGATTTTCAGTGCAATAACTTCTGTTAAATATTTCGTGGTAAGGGGCTGTTAATTAACTACGTAGACGTTCGAAGTGTTTTTATGGTACTTCATACGCGAATTTAGCGATTTTCAGAGTTGGTTGGAAATGCTAACAAGAAGCTTTTGTGTGATAATTTATTAGCTAAAAAATGATCTTTAGAAGAGGGTAGGTGGATAGTTCCGTTAGAGTACGGCAGTGTGAAAATTGAATAGAAGTTGAAAATGAGCGAAGGGCCATTAATGCGACAGTATAAAGTCAAACGCACACCTTTTGCCTAACCCGTACGATGTACGCGGAGACTTGAAGTATGTCTTCGGTACGTAGACGGTTTTTTTGGGATTCTAGATTGGGATTATCCATACATTTTTTTAAATTTGTATGAGCCGTGGATAATTGTCACGATAATTCCCCCCCCCCCCCTTAACTGTTTATGTTTATGAACAGCCACTAAATGCTCTTCAAATTTGTGCCAATTTTACTGTTACGCCTTTTCTCCAAAATACCGTTGAATATTCTATCTCTGGAGATTCCTCTATAATCCTTCCAGAGATTCCTTCTACACACGAGGTTTGTTTGCCAAATCTTGGTAATTTTGGAAATAAAGACCAGTTCGGCAGTAAGTTTGATTGAGACCTCAGCAAAAATTCAGCGAAACCATTTTAGAGACTCAGTAACCGAATGTCACTTTTGCTGAGTTATCTAAAGAACTTGTTGTTGAGCTACTCGGGGGTGCCAAAATGGCCGAGATTCAGCAAACAAAACTAAGTGTGTATATCATAGATTAGGCTGCTTCAAATTGACAGTTGGATTGCCACCAGCAATTTTCAATATCAACAAAGAAATCCAAATTCCAGTGAATCCTATCCGGCATATCTCATGAAACCTAAGTGAAAATCCCCCTTGTCTTAAAAATTCCTCCAGTATTACATTAAAGTTTTCATCTGATAAGTCTCCAAAATTTTATTTTGAGTGTGTTATCAAAGAAGTCAACACTTATTAGAGCTTTTATAAATCCCAGAGAAAGTCTTGGATGTATTTAGTATGAAATTCTCGTACAGTTTTCTTCAAAATCATAGCTGAGGGCTTTATGTAATCTTTAACTAAAATATGATAACCATTCTGTCGGGATTTATTTCAGAGAATCATGTGATATTTAAACAAACATCGACTTAAAGATTTTCATAATAATTAATTTAAGTCTTTGTGAAACATCAAGACTTCCCATTGCCTCAATATATAATGTGGATAGGTCGACGTCTAATCTGTTTGAAGTATACTATGTTTGTTTTGCTTTACTATGAAAGTTTGACAGATAAAATGAGGGGTTCTATGGGAGGGGTGCATCGATTAGCTTAGGACCGAAGATAGTACCAGAGCTGAGCCAAAAAGTTGAGCACGTTTCTTCGGGACCTTCTGGTTTTAGAGTTACCTTTATGATACTAGTGCTTCTATGATGTCAAATGGTTAAAAGAAGATCGATTTACGGGAATCATTTGGAAGAAAGCTCAAAAATAACGACGCTATAGAGAGCTTCCAAAAACTCCAACATGATTTGTGAGAGAGGAGTGCCGTTTGGCATAAAGCCGTTTGGCACAAAGTAACTTGGTATAATAGCCGTTTTGGTATACAAGTTTTTTGATATAACGAACAACTGGCTGTGTTGGTGGTAGATTAGATAAGACAAGTTATTTGATAAAATGAACATTTGGCAAAATTATTTCAAAAATTCTTCCAGATGAAAATATACCATCAACTACACATTTCCACTAAAGCATTCGATTAATAGCTACACTGGCACACTCACCAAATTAGTGTGCAGAAGTACGTACTTAGATTCTCCCTTCGTTCAATGTTTTATTGTTGCAGTAATTATTGGCACGCAACATTAAAATTCATTATTTTTAATTTGATAGGGGGAATGGATGTAATTTCGACCTAAATTTCCGTAATTTGGGCCCATACATAAATTTAGCAATCGACTAAATTTTCAATAGCGACCAAAAATATCCATAAGTACAGTCCCAAAATTGATAAATAGCAGATTTTTAGCAATGGGCCCAATCTTAGATCCATAGGCCAACATTACAGCCATTTCCCCTACCGAACAAAATGTCGGATACTTTCTATTTTATCATGTTTTTCAGTTTAAAATTAAAACATTGTATTATGCCAATTGATCATTATGCCAAATGACCTTTATGCCAAACGGCTTTATGCCAAACTACTATATGCCAAATTGTGAGTGATCGTTGTTTTTCCAAAATCCACTTACCTTCTCTAGCCTAAGTAACTCTATATTCGAAAGCTTAGGATCGTGGGGTAGTCTTATCGATAGGATGATATTTTCATCGGTGATGTTAAATAATGTTAATGTACAAGAGGTCTGTAACGAGACAAAAAAAAACAACAAATACGAAGCGATCGAGATTAGTATTTTGTAAATCGTCCGGGCGGCGGTAAATCTTCGGATCCTCCTTACCTCATTGTTGACATGCTGCAGCACGTACTGCTGCAGCGCTCGAACAGCGTCCTGAACTCCTAGATTAGTGTGCGGTCTTAACAGTGCTTCGTCGGTAGAACTATAACCTAGTAACAGAAAGATTCCACCTGGAAGATCGCGAAAAGTCAGTTAGAAATGCTCCAAGTTGTTTGATGCCAGCAGTCATCCTACCTGGCAACGAATACTCTCCAGGTGGTGGTCGCATACAGATGAACCTGCCGGAGTAGCATAAGCAACGCCCCCGGTAGGCTTGGTAAGCCGGTGCTGCATGACTGTAGTATGCCAACGACGTCCGGCACGGTGCAAGTGGGACGCACAGCGCATGGCACGTTAGTGACAACGTATCGCCACCTCCACAGAAGCACAGCTCACTGCATTCGGCGTCGTCCAGCATGTAGAGCTACACGAAGAAAAGGTAAATGTCAGTGGTCAAGTTCAAGGGAAGCACGAATCCGCAAGGACTTACCCGTCGACTTTTCCCCTCCGCTATGTGTTGATCTGACTGTTGGGAGCGTTGTACTACGCAGTAGCCTGGCGGGAAGAAATAAGCTTAAAATTGGAATTCACCAGTAATCATGAGAGAATCTTACGAATCGGGACCGGTGTAGTCGTTGGTTCCGTAGTCGTAGTAGTGGTAGTCGTTGGCGGAAGAGTCTCGATCTCCATCGCTTCCGTCGTTAGCATCTGCAGTACCTGTTCGTCGGGGCGTTGATGGATCTTGTTGTTGCCGATCGGAGGTCGATCGTCATCATCATCGTGATCCACTTCCTGGAATGCATGTATTACTTTCCCCCTGCTTTCGTACTCGTCCGGGTGTGGTGGATCCAGATCGGTTCGGGTGATCAATTCGTTACCCTTGTGCACCAGCGTTTCCGGACGAGTGTCCGGCGTTTCGATGTAGTTTGTCTCGATCGGTTGGGCCACGGTAGTTTTCGGACGATACTGTGAACATGAGATTTTCCGGGTTAACGTCGTACTGAAGGAGAGCAGAGTTCATGATGTACTTACGACAGGTTTCGGCTTCGTTGGTGGTGGAGTTGGTGGCAGTGTAGGACGAGTTGTGCGCATTGTGGTCGTCGTTGGAGTCGTTGTCGTTGTCAACAAACCCAGCTCAGCTAGGCGCTTCAAGTGGAAATCTTTTTGGGATTCGACTGTGGAAGCAGAATACGGAAAGTGAGAAAACTATCCAATACTGAAAATGAACAGCAAACTTACCGACACAAGGATTCAGCCAGAGCAATCTCTGCCAACCAAGACAATCATACAGCTGCTGTAGATCCGATCCCTGACAGGCACAGTTCGTGCGTAGAGGTGTTCCGAGGATACCGAGCATGGCTTGCCTGCAACCGCTGGTCTTTCCGGCGCACTTCTTCGTAACGCTGTCCACGGCACATGACTGTTCAAACACCTCCAGCCGAGCTCGGCAATCTTCTTCCTGACGGCACATTTCTGCCACCGTATGGCAGGACGGTGGTGGACTGAACAACGCTCCGTTTGGCTCCTGAGCACTGAGGTTCTCCGGTGGCCGTTGGGCACAAGCTGGGTGGAGCTTTTCTTGAGCAATCATGCAGCTGTCGTGACGGTTCGGTGTTTTCCTGAAGTTCAAAACGGAATGGTTAGCACTTGTTGCGGTGGCTAAATTCAAGTGGAACAAACCTGCATAAACAGAAGGCAATGTCCAGACTCAGGTCGTCGTGTATGCCCTTGTAGAAGCTCTGTAACGATTCCATACAGGCGTTCCGGTTGCAATGGTGAAGGTCACAGTGCATCATTACCGTCTTGAAGGCGGAGTTGCAGCCTGAGTCCAAACGGCACGAGTCCATGGCCAGGTGGCAGGTGCTCTGTAATAATGAAGATGGAAGGACAAAAAAAATTGAATTGATTCGTTAGTCGATCCTAATTATCCACAGCTCCGTGAGTAAACCCTTTTTGCTTTTAAGGAATCGCATAAATATAAGCAAATGGAAAAAGGACACCTGCTCTCCTGCCAGGGGGAGGCTGGCGACACTGGTCAACATCGGTTTTTGGTATTAGATGAACAGCGTTCAGGATGTTATGCAATTATATCAGTGCTGAGATTTTTTAATTCTGTTTAGAGTTTTCGAAATTTGCGAACGACATTTTCAAAACTTTGTCGGACTTCTTTAGGAAAGTTCACTGGATATTCTCTGTTTTTCTGAACTTCTGTGAACTGTTTTCAGAACTTTCATACGAAGTCAGTCGTCAGGTTTTTGGGTGAAATTTAGAGGCTTTGTAAGAAGTCCATGGGAGAAGAGAAATGCTAAAAACTTGTTTGAATCGTCCTCATGATTGATTTATTTATATGGGAAGCCTTCAGGACTACTGAGGGAAGTTTTCTAGACATTTAATAGCTTTTAATTATGCTCAAAATTGTTGTAAGAACTGCTCAGAAGTTTCGAATGAAATCCTCAGATGTTTGGTTTCCCGCGAATTTCTGTAGGAAGCTTTCTTATTTCTTTATTTAAGAGGTTTTTAGCCTAAAGGCTAGTTCGCCTAAAGGCTAGTTCGCCTAAAGGCTAGTTTGCCTAAAGGCTAGTTCGCCTAAAGGCTAGTTCGCCTAAAGGCTACACAGATAAAAATTTTGAATTTTAATTGTGATGTAAACATTCATTCACGTAAACTTAAATTTAATTTCACACAACCGAGCAACTTGTAAACAATATTGTTTACAAAGATGGGCTTTTGTATACAATATTTGCTACATTGCATGAATTGTGCTAGAACTTTACATGATATATAATGTAAACTTATATGAAAAATGACGCTCCATTTGTGTGCATCATATTGAACAGAAATTTACACTACTTTTTGAACTGTGTAGTTCGCATAAAGGCTAGTTCGCCTAAAGGCTAGTTCACCTAAAGGCTAGTTCGCCTAAAGGCTAGTTTGCCTCTGAAACGGTGGTAAGCTCTTTGAGAGAAGTCCTCAGGATCTATATGAGAAGTCTTGTGGGAAGGGCAGTCTTCTGGACTTCTGTGGGAAGGGAAGATCTGAAAACTTCTGTGAGACGTATTCAGGGTTTATACAAGAAGTCTTCAGGATTTCTGAGAGGAGTTTGCCGGGCTTCTGTGAGAAACAAATCTGAGGAGTACAGAAGACTTTGATGAGAAGCTCAGAGGGTTTCTAGAGAAGGTCCTCAGGAGTTCTGAAATAAAGCCTTACAGCTTCTGTGGGAAGTTTTCAGAAATTACTTGAGATGTCAGGACTTCTGTGGAATGTTTTCAGGACTTCTTTTTTTTTTAATCTTTATGTAAGAGATTTTTAGCCATAGGCTAGTTCATCTCTAGGACTTCTGTTGGATGTGCCCAGGACATCTGTGGGAATTTTTCAGGAGTTTTAAAAAAGCGCGCAGAAATATTGTGGGAAGTCGACATGACTTATGTGGGAAATCCTTAAGACTTGTGTAGAAAGTCCTCGGGAGTTTTGTAAAAAGTCATCAATGCTTTTATGGAATGTCCCAAAGACTTCCGTGGAAAGCCCGCTAGACTTCATTGATATGTTCTCTGCCCATTTTTGGAAAGTTGTTGAAACTTGGGAATTTTTACAAGACTGTATGACTTCTATGTGAAGTTCGCAGGACTTTTCTTTGGGAATCCTGTTGTAATTTCCATGAAAATAAGTGAAAAGTTACCCTGTGGAAAATCCAAAGCAGTTGATGGGAAGTCTTTGCATCTTCTGTGGAAAGTCCTTTGTAAGCTTGCTGGAAATCCTCAATAATGTGGTAGGAAGTCATTAGCACTCTTAAGGGAAGATTTGAGGACTTCTGTGGATAGTTCTCAGATTTTTTTTTGATAGAAAGCTCTCTGAACTTCTATGGGAAGACGACAGAATTTCTGTGTGAATTTTGTTTCTAATTTCTGCCAGCTTGTGGGGGCTTCTGTGGGGAATCCTCTAGAGTTCAATGGAAAGTCTTCACATTTTCAGTCGGCGGTCCTCAGTATCTTTGTACCTGAGTAGCACATATCAGTTAAGAGAAATTGCAGTAACTTGTTTATGAAAAAAGTGCGTGCTACCAGGGTGGAAGTTTGACAAAAAGTCCTTAGATGTTCTCATGACTTCTATGTGCAGTCATCAAGACTTCTATTGGACATTTCTAGGATTTCTCTTAGATGTCTTTGGATCATCCTGGGAAGTTGTCTAAACTTCTTAATGCTAGTCCTACGAATTTTTGAAAACAAGTTCTTTGGACCTCCGTGGATTGCCCTCAAGACTTCTGTGGTAAGACCACAGGATTTCTAAGTGAAGTTCACAGGACTTTTTGTTTTGAATTTTTCTGTGGGAAATTCAGGAGTTCAATGTGAAGTCTTCACATCTTTTGTCCAAAGCCTTTAGTATGTTTCCAAGAAGTCCTCAGGAGTTCTGTGTTACTTCTGTGGGAAGTTCTCAGGACTTCTAAAGGTCGGTCATCAGAACATCTGTGGAAATTGTAAAGACTTCGATGAGATGTCTTTTGAACTATGAGTTATTGTCTAATCTGCTTAAAGCAGGTTCTCTGAATTTTCAAATGGAAGTTCTCTGGAAATCAGCGGATTGTCCTGATGACTTCTGTGGGAAGACTGTAGGACTTCTGAGCATAGTTCACATGAGTTTTTTTTTATGGAATTCTGTACTTATTTCTGAAGACATCTTTGAGAAGTTACCGTCACAAGGCTTTTGTTGGAAATCCTCAGGAGTTCGGTGGAAATTCTTCACATGTTCTATGGGACGTTCTCATTTAGTTTGCAGGGTGAGCTGATGTGTGTTGTGGAAGGTCCTCTAGAGTTTTGAAAAACATCATCAGTTCTACTGAGAGAAGTTCTCAGGACTTCTGTGGATAACTTCTGTGGGTAGTTTAATGGAATGGTTTGAGATGTTTTCTGGACATTTTTGGGTTGTTACTATTGTTCTATGGGTCCTCCGAATTTTTGAAAACAAGTTCTTTGGACTTCCGTGGATAGTCCCAAAGACTTCTGTGGTAAAACCACAGGATTTCTGGGTGAAGTTCACATGCCTTTTTGTTTGGAACTTCTATGGTAATTTAAAAGGGCTTCTGTGGGAAATCCTCAGGAAGTCTTCTGTCGGAAGTCTTTGATATGTTTAAGAGAAGTCTTCAAGACTTTTGCAGGAAGTCATCAGTGCTTCTGTGGGAAGTTCTCTGGACTTCTAAGGGTGGTCATCGGGACATCTGTGTGTCAAGACTTCTTTGAGATGTATTTCGAACATCTTCTTAAAGCAAGTTCGCTGAATTTTCAAAAGGAAGTTCTCTGGACATTTGTGGATTGTCCTGATGACTTCTGTGAGGGAGACCGTAGGACTTCTGGGTGAAGTTCACATGACTTTTTTTTATGGAATTCTGTAATCGCTGAAGACATCTTTGAGAAGTTACTAATAAATTCTTCACATAATCTGTTTATAGTTAAGTTTGTAGAGGAGCTCATGGGTGTTGCGGGAAGTCCTTAGGAGTTTTGAAAAAAGTAATCAGTGCTACTGAGAGAAGTTCTCAGGACCATCAGGACTTCTGTTGGGAGTTTGCAGGAATTCTTTGAGATGTCTTCTGAACAGTTATGGGTTGTTATCTAATCTTTTGTAGGAAATCAACTGAATATTTAAATGGAAGTTCTCATAACTTATGTTGATAGTCCTCAAGGCTTTTAAGGGACGATCACAGGATGTCTGTTTGAAGCGCACATAGCTTTTTGCTTGGGACTTCTGTGATGATTTATGAGGACACCAGTGAGATGTTTTAAAAGAAATATATGGGAAATTCAGTGGGAAGTTTTCAGTTCTTATGTAAGAAATAATCAGAACTGTTGTGGCAAGTCCTCAGAACTTCTTCAGATAGTTTTCAGGACTTCTGTGGGCAGTTATATGGGCTTTTATTGGAAGTTTGAGATGTCGGCTGCTAAACTGCTCTGCATTTCAGATAGCAAGTTACTTCGACTTATTGGATTGCCCTCACGACTTCTGTTGGAAGTCCACAGGACCTTTGTATGAAGTCCACAAGACTTCCATAAGATGAAGTCCACAAGACTTCCATAAGATGAAGTCCACAAGACTTCCATAAGATGAAGTCCACAAGACTTCCCTAAGAGTCATCTGCAATTCAAAAGACAAGTGCTCAAAACATCTGGTCCTCTGGTGATGGGAAGATTAACAAAGGGAGTGTGACTCTTCATGTTTGTCCATTTCTCGGCTTCACACATAACTCTCCTAAACAGTATTGAACAAGACTCAAATTGCCTTCGAGTGAAAGAGGTAAACTTTCTAACAAAATCATAAATTTTTTGCACCCCAGTGTACCCGAAGCGATCCCAAATTCTCACCTGAAAATGGATGAAACTCATCTCGGCTTCCTTCTCCTCGATATCGTCGGATCCAACTGCAGCGGGTGGTAACGGTGGAGGTGGAGTGTGAGATGGGATGAAAATTCCGGTTCGAACCACACACAGACGCAGCACACCCATTTCCGGTTGATTGACGATCCCGGCCAAATTCCAGAGGACGGTCAAAAGTAACGGGAAAAAAAGAAGAGAAAGCAAGAAAAAAGAAAATCCGGTCAGTGTGAGAGATATACAATCGGTTCCCCTACTCGGTGGGAAGGGGAGATGAGATGATTCTATAGTGAGAGGAAAATTTATTGTATCATTGCGCTCGTTGTGCACCCAGTTTCTACCTCGTCCTTTTTTTTCGGGGGAATCCCCCCCTTGGCACCTTTTTGCGTACTTTAAAACTGGGAGATTTGTTGTGTGTGTAGGTAGCTAGCATTGGGTGTTCTTGTAGGAATCAACTGCAGCCAAGTGAGGGTAATTGGTCTTGAGCCTTCAACCTCCATCCAGCTTCTCGACTAGATGTTTAGCAAAAGAACATCGGGGTTTAAAATTAAGAACAAAAATCCTTTTCCTTTTGCCATAAATCCGATCTATTCGTATTCGTCGCGTTTCACAGGTAGGAACATCCTATTTTTATTTTATTTCACGGGCCAATGCGACTACCTGCCGCCGCCGGTTGTCGTCAGGATTCAACGTTTGCGTCGTCATCGGGATGAAGGGATTAAGGCTGAACACGATCCGAGGGCTCTTTTTCGGTCTTTGGACATTGTGAAATTGGAACTTACACAGAAGTGGAAGAATTTCAATTTTCATCCAGGTGATTTAGTGTCGCAAAGGAAGATTTGTTTAGCTGCTATCTAAAGTGGCGTAAGTTGGAGTGGAATGGAGGTGGGCCAAAGCTTAGTGAGTGAACGTGAAATAGCTTGTGCTGAGAAGGAGCAGAAAGGATGAAAGCTAAAAGCTGTAAGCTATAAATAATTAACAAAGACCACCAGTCAGTCAGTGGCAGTGGCACATGCAGTGATTGAAATTGAACTGAAATCGATTGTTGGAGTTGAAATGTGTAATGACGCTTTCATGAGGTTTCCGATGGTGATGATGTATGTAGGTAATGGTAGCACGGTAGCAGCAGTCGGTCTATTATGAGAACCCCCAAGGGAATGTTGTCATTCGTAAGGTTCAATCTTGTGTTATATGATGGATTTCAATAGAGTAGGATGTTGTCAGGATTAGAAATCATAGAAATGTTTTTTTTTTAAACAGTGTTTTCCTGTTTATAGCAGCACATGATTTTTGTTTTCTTTGCCAAGTCAACAATTCATGGAACTGCTTTATTCCATTTGTGATTTCACTAGTTTATTATTCAGGGATTAAAGTTGCTTGATATTTTATGAAAAACATTTTAAAAAGCTGAGGATATAGTAGCAGATGATATCGAGTTGCCAAAAACGGGAAGGCACTGTTACATATAAAGACATCATATTTGGCTTGATGCAAAAATTGCTCTTATGGAATTTTTTGAGTCTAAGGTTATTTTCCTTTATAATGGCATAGAGATCGTTCTTGTTTTTGCTTTATCATTCAATGCAATAACAAAAGCTTTTATATTGTTCTCAACAATAGATAAGTTTCCTTCAGGGCTGTAATCGAAATCGACTGACTTTAAGAACACATTGAAAATTAAACAAAAAATATATCATCCATTCCAAATGCAAATATTTCAAAAACTAGTGTAAATTTCAGGAGCAGTGTAGCGTAAATTGGCCAGGAGCCCAAGATAAAGCATTATCAGGAAAAACACATACACACTAGAACCAACTGTTGAGAATATTCTGAACTTCTGTATAGTCAAGGACTTACTGAAGAAATTTACCTAAGACAGGAAACTCCTATGTTACCAGCATCCCAAAATATATCAAATTCAGGAAATTATCATGCACACTTGCGCCGTATAGTGCGACAATTCTGAACTTCTCTCCATCAGTCAAAAAGCCTTGACTTTGACTGAACAACTTTCTTGAATACTGTAACTTGTATGTGGTCTGGATCCCAAAACATAATATATTCAGGAGATTCACTGACATACTAGCACCACGTAGTGAAAAAAAATCTGAACTTCTGTCCTCCAACCTAAAGTCCTTGATCTACTGAACAAATGTGCTGGAGACTGTAACCTTTTATATGGCAACGATTCGAAGATTTAGCATATTCAGGACATTCACTTAAAGGGTGGAACGGTCAAAAATTAGTCCACTCAAATTTGGTGATTTTTTTTTCATCGTGCATTTAAAAAACTTGAACTCCCCTCATTTGTAAATCTGTGCGTATGGAATGTTGCATTTTTTTTCAATTTCAATTTCAAGAGGAACAGCGTATCAAAATTTTGCTCACGCACATGCGAAATCCAAATTATTCCCACGCAGATTGTTTGCGTCAGAAATTTTATTGCGTTATAATAAACAATGAAATATACGTCAAGGCAGCTTTCAAACAGCTCCCAGGTCAAGGATTTACATGGCTACCGGAAAAGGAAAGGATCAAGATAAGTTTAAGCAGAAATAGTTCTGCACTTTAACTATTTTGTTTGTATTACTTCTACGCAAAGTTAACGATTTACATAGTTAAAGATGCTAATTTCAAATAACAGACCAGTGTTGGCTAAAATCAAGGCCAGAAAATCAAAATCAGTTATCTCTCAAGATCAATATCACCTAAAATCACAGGCACCAATATCACAAACCAACGGCGCCGGTGGTGTAGTGGTAAGCGTGATTACCTCTCACCCCAGCAGGCCTGGGTTCAATCCCAGTTGGCGCCGCCGGGATGTTCTGAGGCATAACATCTCTGATCACGCCTTCCTTCGGATGGGAAGTAAAGCCGTTGGTCCCCGGTTCATGAGTTGATGGGTCGATAGGTAGGGTCCAGGTGTGGGAGCTGCCTTCCTGGCACGTCGGTAGCATTGGTGCTCAGCACGGAAAACAAGATCGACGGAAAAAAACAAACCAAAGGAAAAAAAAAAAAATAAATATCACAAACCATCATCACCATGAAAATCACACATGATTTTCGACCAATCAACCAGTAATCATTTTGGAATTCAATATGGTGGTGGATGTCGATTTTCCACTTCTACTCATTAAAACCTATTCCGTAGATACTCATATTTCAGTTTATTGGATTTTAGTGCACCATCTTGAATTTTAAAATGGCGACGGATGTCGATTTTCAACTTCTACTCATTGACCCCTTTCCATAGATACCCATATTGCATGGGTTTAAATGGATATACGCTATCCGGAGGCCACAATATTGGATTTTGGTTCGCCATTCTGGATTAAAAAATGGCAGTGGATGTCGATTTTCCACTTTTACTCATTGAACCCATTCCATAGATACCCATATTGTATGGGCTTAGATGCATATACGCTGTACGGAGGCCGCCATACTGGATTTCTATCCACCATCTTGGATTTCAAAATGACGGCGGATGTCGATTTTCCACTTCTACTCATTGAGCCCATTCCATAGATACCCATAAGACTGATGCAAAATTTGACTTTTTCGCTCCACAATGCTTAAATGGTTTCAAATCGGGTCCTGATTAGCCTCCCAAAGTTACAACTCATTTGGTTAGAAACAGACTTCGCACAAGCCATTTGAAGTTTACATGTAAATTACTATGGGAAATCTCAACTTTTTGTTCATTGCCATCTAGTCTTTTTCCATATTGAGCTGCGAAACAGTTCGATAGCCATTATTAAAGAAAAATTTCTCAGCTACAACTTTGCTGAAGATCGTTTCTTTGTAAAACGAGACAGGAAAAAGTTATTAATTATTTAAGAGATTGGTAGACTTATGACATGATCAAGCAGCTGCTCTGTAGGCAACACTGTATTTTGCAGTGTGACATAGTAGCCATAATTTGTGTGTCCTATTCAACGCTCCAGAAACACCAATGTTGCCTGCTGAGCAGTTGATTGAGCATGATCATAAGACATCAGTGCATTGAACCATTAATAACTTTCGATCCTTGCATTCAATCAAAAAGTAGTTTTGAACAAAGTTGTAGCTGGGAAAATTTCCTACAAGCACAGATGAAAGCTTTTGAAGTAGACCGATATGGTGAATTATTAGATAGACATGAACAAAAATCTTGGTTTTACCATAGTAATTCCCATACAAACTTCAAATGGTTTGTGCCATCTCAGTTTCTCACCAAAGGGGTTCAAATTTTGAGAGGTTAGTCAGGATCCGATTTGGAATCGTTTAAGTATTGTGGAGCGAAAAAGTCAGATTTTGCATCAGTCTAATACCCATATTGTATGGATTTTGATGCATATACGGTGTCCGGAGGCCGCCATATTGGATTTTGGTAGTCATCTTGGATTCCAAAATGGCGATGGATGTCAGTGTTTTACTTTGACTTTGGCTATTGATTTTCCGTTTGGTTATTTTGTTACCTCAAAATCAGCTAAGGTTAAGCTTAAGCCTTGATTTTCTGCTCTGTGATTTTGCTACTCTGAAGATCAGCCGTGATGTTCTGTTTGTGATTTTGCTGATCTCAAGATCAGCAGTGATTTTCAGCCGTTCCTGATTTTGGCTTTTTTCCATCATGTTACAGTGGTAACAAAGTGATAATTTTTATACGAAAGTGTAAAGTTAATAGTTCCGTTAGAGTACGGCAGTGTGAAAATTGTATATAGGTCATTCCGCGTCAAGTGTATACAGCAGATAAAATTGACCTCTTCCGATTTGTACCAAATTTATAGTGAATGTTCATTGAAGTTTAAATTCTAAAAATTCCAAGTTTTATGCTAATCGAAGCACCCTTCGGTCAAGGGGCACACTTTAAATTTTTCATTATATTTTAGAAAGCACTACTTTCTTTTGTTAATATCTCTGGAACGAATGAAACTATAAATTGCATTAGGTATTAATTTAATAAGAAAATTAAACATTTCTAGATAGAGCTGGAATTAGGGCCTAGCAGCTTTTGTAAACAATGACTTCTATCGACGATTTCTAGAAATTCAAGACTCGCCCACGCAAA